TGATTTTAACTTTATACACAAGTGCCAAAATACAATAATTAGTTATAATACCTGTTCATTTAGAGTCAAGATTTCATTTATGTTGATAAGAGTCAGGAATGGAGGGATGTTGTGCTTCCAAAATAATATCATTATTTCATTTCTACGGGTAAAAAAAAAGGGGTATTCAGTCCATCTATTCCAGCAGTTGTCAGTTATTCTTTTTTCATGGACCCCTTCACAAACCAAATACCCCACCCTTTTATACTTTAGGTCTATCTGCAGAAGGTGGTCCTACACATAAAAAGCAGCACCGACACAAATAACAATGTAAATTAATGAAATTATCATATAAAGTATTATTTTCATTTAATAGAACATTGAACCCTTTTTTTTTAAACTATAATACAGAAACTAGATTTTTTTTTTACCATTGTGGACCCCCACACCCCTTTTAGAATGATTATAAACCCACTGGGAGTCCTTCAACCACAGATTCGAACCATGGACCAAGGCTATTCCATTTTCTAATACTACCTTACTCTAAACTATATTAACAAACTCTTTTTCTTAAACCCAACCCTCATCTCTAAATTACTCATCCAATCTTAAATTATTTCACTGTTTCAGTTTTTACTGTATCTTAAAGTAAACTATTCCATAGACCAAACACCCTTTATTTGGAGCCTTGTCTGAGTTTACTGTATCTTAAACTTGTGTTTTCCAGTCTTATTGCCTAATTTTTTTTAAGACAGCATCTAGACTTAGGGATTCCAAACCTCTGACAAACTACAATTATAAAATTTTGAAACAAATGTACAAGTGAAAGACTAATAATGTTCACTGAAAGACTGCCAATTTTTGTGAAAATATACATACTATATTAAAAGATAGTAGTGTCAAATCTACAAAGACTTTCAACAAGTACAAAGAGGTCATGTGGTTGGTCAAATTGATTGAACCTGTAGTGAGAGAGTTAATAGGTAAGTGATTAAATTTTTGTTACTAGGTTTTTATCTTTTTTTTTTAAGTTAGGCCTGGATTTTTAATTTTAAAAGATTAAACAAAAAGTGGTACACGAGCCTGAAACGTTTGAGGGCCAATGGTCTAGATAAACCAAGGAATTATTTTTGCTGTTTTTGTTTTTTTGTAATTAAGCACAAAACTACACAATGGGCTATCTGTGCTCTGTCCACCAAGGGTATCAAAACCCGGATTCTAACATTGTGAGTCTGCAGACATACCGCTGTGCCACTGGGGGGCTTTTGCTGTTTTCTCAACTGAACAATGTTATTTCTAGGTAGTGTACCCATTTATAACTTAGCAAGATATATTGCACAAATAGAGATCAATTTAAGTAAGAAATTAAAACAAAAATTACCACCATATTTTCATACTGTGTGAAATAGAAGGTTAAATTACAATGGTCATGCATATGCTTAAATTAGTAAGATTAAGTTATTCTAGAACAATTTTTATGGTAAGTTGCATACACATATAACCCTAGTTTGTGCAGATATATTAGTTAAAATGTTTACAATGAGTTAGTGTTTTGTTGCTACATTACATACCATTAACCAACAGTGTGTTTTTGTTAAATCCTTGGATTCGGTAAGTTACGTGTATCTTGTAACTTTATCATTTTTATAATTTCATTATCATTTTCTAACTTAGTAATTTAATTTTTATGTGAACAGGTATATACTGTTAGAGCTATACTAACTTGACCATATAAGTTGTAATAAGCTTACCCAGTGTTAATGGGGATAATCTCTATCAATGGGTTTTTTCTGATTTTAGGCAAAGCTAGAGATGCCCCACCTCCTTTACGCCCTCCTTCTTTCTTTGAGCCCAAAAGCCGTACAGTATGACCTTTGAAAAAACAACTGTTTTCACCAAAACTCTCTTAATGAAAGAGTTAGATCATCAAACAAAAATGATGTGAGAAAAGCAACAGAAGATGCCATCAATCTATTAAATTAAATTCTACGTCTCACTTTAATGAAGGGCAAGTGCTTTCACATGCATATTAAAATTTTAAAGAAATATGGTCAAGGACACACACTACACTTATGATGTATATATTCTCAAATAATAAAGAAACATGAATTTTATACTTAAAGAATAAATTAAAACCACATTAAAAAAGCATATGATTGAAATACTATCTTATTTTGGCATCAGACTGCTCAAGTAACAAATACACATTTACCTTTAAGCATTTCCTTCTGCTAATGTACCATCTACATAGTTACCTTTAAGCGTTTCCTCTTGCTAATGTACCATCCACATGCTTACCTTTGAGCATTTCCTCCTGCTAATGTACCATCCAAGTACTTACCTTTAAGCATTTCCTCCTGCTAATGTATCATCCACGTGTTTACCTTTGAGAATTTCCTCCTGCTAATGTATCATCCACATGCTTACCTTTGAGCATTTCCTCCTGCTAATGTACCATCTACATAGTTACCTTTAAGCGTTTCCTCTTGCTAATGTACCATCCACATGCTTACCTTTGAGCATTTCCTCCTGCTAATGTACCATCCACATGCTTACCTTTGAGCATTTCCTTCTGCTAATGTATCATCCACATGCTTACCTTTGAGCATTTCCTCCTGCTAATGTACCATCCACGTGCTTACTTTTGAGCATTTCCTCCTGCTAATGTATCATCTACATGCTTACCTTTGAGCATTTCCTCCTGCTAATGTATCATCCACATGCTTACCTTTGAGCATTTCCTCCTGCTAATGTATCATCCACATGCTTACCTTTGATAATTTCCTCCTGCTAATGTATCATCCACATGCTTACCTTTGAGCATTTCCTTCTGCTAATGTATCATCCACATGCTTACCTTTGAGAATTTCCTCCTGCTAATGTATCATCTACATAGTTACCTTTGAGCATTTCCTCCTGCTAATGTACCATCCAAATGCTTACCTTTAAGCATTTCCTCCTGCTAATGTATCATCCACATGCTTACCTTTGAGCATTTCCTCGTGCTAATGTATCATCCACATGCTTACCTTTGAGCATTTCCTCATGCTAATGTATCATCCACATGCTTACCTTTGAGCATTTCCTTATGCTAATGTATCATCCACATGGCTTACCTTTAAGCGTTTCCTCTTGCTAATGTATCATCCACATGCTTACTTTTGAGCATTTCCTCCTGCTAATGTACCATCCAAAGGCTTACCTTTGAGAATTTCCTTCTGCTAATGTATCATCCACATGCTTACCTTTGAGCATTTCCTCATGCTAATGTATCATCCACATGCTTACCTTTGAGCATTTCCTCCTGCTAATGTACCATCCAAATGCTTACCTTTAAGCGTTTCCTCTTGCTAATGTACCATGAACATTTCCTTCTGCTAATGTATCATCTACATGCTTACCTTTAAGTGTTTCCTCTACAACTTCCACTACTCTATCAATCTGCTGAACTCCCACCACACTTAACCCTTTAAGGTAGCTGGCACGAGGAGCTGCCTGAGGTACACAGCCTGCCACTACCACATGTTTTCCTCTCTCTAAGCCTGACATAACAGCATTACGAAAGTGATCCTCTGCTGGGCCTTTTACTGTGCAGCTGTTGAGTAGCCAAAGGTCAGCCATGGCAGGATCATCTGATGAATTAACATCAAAACCAAACAAAATTAGTCATGAAGTGCTAATAATCATATTGTTACATAACCACAACTCTTAAGTCAGTCAGACCAACAAAACACTAGCATACATTAGTGCACAGAAAACAATAATTAGTGACCTTTGACCATCTTCTTTTGATAGTTAACTTTTCCTTTTTTTACTATGTGGTTACAATGGTAGACACACCAAACTACTTCTAAAATAAAAACAAGAAAAAAACACCTGGTGGTAAATTATGGTTTTTAAACTGCAAATCTGGTATCAAAGAATGCATGTTGGGATAAAGGTTGTGTACATGTACAGTAAAACAGTAACAGTAAAACCAACAATCAATCAAACACTTAGGTTTACAATGTATAGTGCAATAGTTCATTTCTGGATACGTTACTTTTTTACACTTGTGCATGGAAAAACAAAGAAAGGGTGAAATGATTCCAAAGTCTACAGTGAATACTATATCACCTCAACATTATTAGATTGGATGCACGGTTTAAAACCAAAATTCCCCGTAAGAACATACACACATACACCAACCTCTACATCACCCAGAATTCCGCTCATGACATCACACCTAAAATCAATACACTGAAAAACCTCATAAACACAGCCACAAGACTCTGTTCAATGGACTACATAGATGAAGAAATCAACCACATAAAGCATTCCTTCATTCACCACAACAAAACTCAACTCACAAACAAAATTGATACTAACAAACCCAACAACAGAATATTACACTGCAGTTTATCTTTTGTTACTGAAATCAGCTCAACAATAATCAAAACTTGGACAAAACTAGCCATTAAACACAAAATTCCCATCAGCGTCAAATTCTCTCAAAAACCTGGCCATAAATTAAAATCGTTACTAAACAAAAATTATTTATAATCACACAATATCAATGTCATTTACAAAATAACATGCAATAACTGCCCAGAATTCTACATCAGAGAAACAGGATGAAAATTGGAAACCAGATTCACAGAACACAATAAAAAACCATCCCATGTTTTCCACCATTGCAACTCAAAAAACCATAGTATATCTATTAAAAACACATTAATTTTAAATAAAGAACCAAACATATACAAACGAAAAATCAAGGAATCCATCTTAACTGAACAAAACAACCCTACTCTAAACCAACACCCTGGGGTGTCAAGATATCTCTTCTAAGGCATGCAACAATATCCAGTCATGTGACCTCTTTGTTCCATACTGTATATGTATATAAAACCTTGTCGAAACGTTGTATATTTGCTGTTATGTTAAACTTATATTAAAGTGTTTTTTCACTACCCATTAAGCCGTCTCCAAGCATTATCATATCACCTTTATTAAACAGTGGAAAACTGAAATACAGCTTACTTGAGAGACTTCATAATCTTAACTTAAAGTACTGAAAACATTACTTAACTAAATGGAATCCTTCTTATAAATCCATTGTATTAAACATATGAAAAGTAAAAGGCAGAACAGCTTTACCCTGTGCCACTGTTTCACAAACACACAAGCAATTTTTGACACGAGTCTATATATAACATATATATAAATAAGAGACTTTACAAGCTTTACATATTATCTCTAGATCATTGAAAAACTAGAGGTGACCTGATTCAAGTGTTTCAAATCTTTTGTTTTTGAAGTGCTTGGATAAACTGCCTATTGGAGATTTGTTGAACAAGAGGAAGGATAAAGTTGGGGGTGAAATCCTAAATATTAAAGGAAGTAAGTATAAGCTATGAAGGTTGATTATTAGACAATATTATTTCACTAGTAAAGAGATTTTAAACTTATGGAATGATGTGGTGTTGTGGTATTATAGTTTAACTGAATGAGCACATCAGACCTACCCAGTGTCGGAGAAGGTATGATGTAAATAATTCTTATTTTATTAGTTTATATACACAAAATATGGAAGACTTTAGGTAAAATGTACAAGTCTGTTGTACACAAAAATTTAGATGTGTATTTGTACTCAAGGTATGTCAGTAAATTCATGATATCAGTTTGACTCAGACTCTGACAAGTCAGAGTGCAAGATGATGTTCAGGTGAAGAATAAAAATACTTATGTTCAACAGACAGTTTGTAACTGTATAACCTCCAGAACCTCTGAAACACACACACATATTTATTTATATATATATATATATACACACACATTTTTTTACAGTATCCCTGTACACTGTATATGGTATTTACTCTCCTCTACCATGAACTGTTGTTAAATGAGCAATGTAGGGTAAGATTAATAGTAGATAAGTTAGTTAGTTATATTAGGTAAAATAAATAATAATAATATAATAAAAATGTTTCACGAGGCACACATGCGAGCAGAGTAGCTCGTGGGTAATGTAATTCAATAGCGTAACACGAGCTCCATGTTCCCCAAGTGATTTACAACTTATAATAGCATGAATAGTAGTTAGACATGGTTCGAAGGGCAATAAAACAATTGAGATTTTTGAGATGAAAAAGTATTTTTATATTATCATGAAAATAACTGCACTCAGACTAGTAAAAAAAAAGACTCGATATATTCCCAGACAAATATTTTTTTAGTTTATTAAAACTACTTCACTAAAAAAATCTGACTTGTATGTGAAAGACTTGTAATGTTTACTGAAATTCTGCCAAAGTTTGTCAAGATATACACATTATATTAAAAGTTAGTAGTATCAAAACTATAACACTTTAAACGAGTACAAAGTGGTTACGTGGTTGGTCAATTCAACCAAGCCCGTGTCGAGAGAGCTAAGAAGCTTATAGAATCAGTTGCCATCAGCAGAAGTAAAAGCTAACACCTTACAAGAGTTTAAGAAGAGAACTAATTGCTTCTTGAAAACAAAAGAGTGAATTTGATATATACTTTTTCCTCTGGAGGTTGGGTGTCCAAGAATGACCTCGAAGGACACAAATTGTTCCTTGTTGTCCATCTACAAACATACTTTCTTATTTGTACCTGTTCATTGGTTAAATCATCTCATGACACAGAGATCAACTACATAACATTAAACAAGTATAACTTTTGAATGAATTCCAGTTACCAGATATGTAACACTTACCAATCACTTTGTATCCATTGAAAGCAAGAAGACCTGCCATGTACTCACTGTCAGAATTGTTGTGGGCACAGCCCCATGTTTTCACGTAGATGCTCTGTGTTCCTAAAATGTAAAAAAGATTACTAGGTTTATAAGGAATATACAGGAAAAGATGTGCTAAAGCAACTCAGGAATGATGTTCCCTCTAACTTCTCTTTGTACTAGACAGACTACATAACTCAGAAACGATGTTCCCTATAACTTCTCTTTCTACTAGACAGACTACATAACTCAGGAATGATGTTCCCTATAACTTCTCTTTCTACTAGACAGACTACATAACTCAGGAACAATGTTCCCTCTAACTTCTCTTTCTACTAGACAGACTACATAACTCAGGAATGATGTTCCCTCTAACTTTTCTTTCTAGTAGACAGACTACAGAACTCAGGAACGATGTTCCCTCTAACATCTCTTCCTACTAGACAGACTACATAACTCAGGAACGATGTTCCTTCTAACTTCTCTTTCTACTAGACAGACTACGTAACTCAGGAACAATGTTTCCTCTAACTTCTCTTTGTGCTAGACAGATTACATAACTCAGGAACAATGTTTCCTCTAACTTCTCTTTGTGCTAGACAGACTACATAACTCAGGAACAATGTTTCCTCTAACTTCTCTTTGTGCTAGACAGACTACATAACTCAGGAACGATGTTCCCTCTAACTTCTCTTTCTACTAGACAGACTACATAACTCAGGAACAATGTTTCCTCTAACTTCTCTTTGTGCTAGACAGACTACATATTAGTCTGAGCACTACTTTTCTGTCCATCACTTTTTTTTAGCAGCTGTTGGTGTCTGTATTCTTGCCTTATGTTTATACATGGTCTTGTTCACATTGTAGACCTATGTCTTTCACATGAAACTTTTATCAAATGACTAAGTTGTTAGTGGCCTGTTAGTTGTGACATGCTGTACCTGCCACATTACTGGACATATGCACAACTTAAAGGAGACATTGCTCAGGAGACCAATTCAACCAGCTGTTACAACAGTTGAAAGAGAGGATGATGCCATTTGAAGGCTAGCACAACACTTTTTTAATGTTGGGCAATAAACTTCTCTAGATAAAAATATGTTTAAGTGTTTCAATTCAAAACTTACACCAGATCAATCCAGTGTACAGGTAGCTATGATGAAAGCAAGGCACCACTACTTGAAATAATTAAACCCTTTCACTATTGCAGCATCAATATCAAACAAATCATACGAGTGAATATGAAAAACAAAAAACATTGAATTTTAATCTGTGGTTTACAGCTCTGAATCTTCTAAATCAAATGCCAAATTTGATACAAAAGGATAAAAAGTTCATGAAGATGCAGATTCGTGTTCTCACTCTATTAAACTGCTAAGCCTCACAGACTACTTGTTATATCTAGTTTTAAAGCTGTTAGTAAAAACAGTCACATGTAACCCATTTCCTTAATTTTAAGACATTTGAAACTCCTTAAAAAACTGAAATAGAAAAGTAATGAGCTTAAAACAGGAGTCACAAACAAAAACGCTAACTTTATAACTAACCTACACAAAGACTGCACGTAAGGAAAATATGTGGCCGTATGTTTCACAGTTCACTTATGGTCTGATAATAAAGATAAAGATGATTGATAAAAAAAGACAATTTACTTGCAAGGTTCGATTGTTACAGAATACACATATTCCATCTTTAGTGAAATCTGAAAATAGTGTTATAAAAATATTTATTAACTACAGCTATAATATCATTAATCATTAGTTTACATAGTTATTATGTAAGGTGGTAAATGGAAGAATAAAACAAATAACTAAAGATTATATTGCAAAACAGTTGAGTTTTAAGTGGGTAAATTTAGAATAATTTTAGGTCAAAAGATTAGGGCAGTCTTAAGCTATGAGTAAACTTTCTTTAATGTGGAGTTCAAGGTCTGAAGATCCTTTAGTAATGACAGAGAAATCAGTTACATAAAGTATCGTGACCTGTGGTTTCAACATGTGAACAAATTGATGAGTGGCTGGGCTTAAGTAGTGGATGAAGTATCGTGACCTGTGGTTTCAACATGTGAACAAATTGATGAGTGGCTGGGCTTAAGTAGTGGATGGTTGGTTCTGTTAGGTACTCCTAAATGTTCACAAACTCTAGTTTTCAGGTGGCATTTTGTTTTTCCAACATTCATGACCTCATAATCACTACACATGTACTTATACATGAGCCATGAACATAAAAGTTCAGGTAGTTGATCTTGATATCGAAATAAGCATTTAATGCAGAGACTAGGTCTGTATATTAGTCTGAGCTGAAGTTGAGGGTAGAAGTTTTTATTGAAGAAGAGGATTGTTCTTTAATTTGTAAGGATTGTGAGCCAATAAAAGAAGGGGGGGGGGTAATGAAGGGAAATTTGGAAATGGTGTGCACAGTAACAGGTGGCTGGATTTATTATTAAAGTTTTTTTTCCCCATCATGAATTCATTGTCACTTATACTCTATTCCAAGTACCAATATTAATTTTATAACCACCCTATACAAAATCTGCATGTATGGAAAATATGTGCCCTTACGTTTCACAGTTCACCTACAGTCTATCCCAAATACCCATACTAATCCTATAACCGTCCAATACAAAGCTCAAAAGTGATATGATGGTACACTGCAAAAAGAAATCCTATTTAGATGTTTCAAGCACTCCCCCCATCTCTTTAAACTTGAGTGTTTGTTCTCTATCATTAGATATATTTTGAAACTTATCATAGTGGTAGACAAAAAAATGCAAAATCTACAAGTTGCATTCAAATCCTGTAACTAATTGCCTTTTAGGGACACAGGTAAAAAATATGAGGGATTACTTTCTAAGTTAAATAAGTTTGAATCTTGGAATGCTATTTAAAAACACTTTAGCCCTATAACCTGTGTACTCATTAAGTGGAAAGAGGATAGAAATGTAGAACTTAACATAAAAGTAGTCCCTAGTTTCTTAAGAACATATAAGCAACAAGTCTTAGATTTGAATGTGCACTGTTTTATTAGAGTTAAGAAATACCTGAAAAACATAGCAACAGATTTGAAAGCTGAAATTATTACTATCTGTAACACTGATTAAAGTCAAGTAGTAAACAATGTTATTTTACAGTACCTAATGATAGTACTATGTTTTTAATCATAATTCGCTTGTGTAAACTTTCATTTCATAAAGACATTACACTAAATATGTATCAAACTTTATTTAGAAACTAACTAACAACCAGAAGTAAAATTAGAACAAAGTTCTGAATTTCTGATAAAATTATTTGACTCTCAGCTAAAACTGTTGATATATTACATCTTGTACAGTATTTGTATTCTAATCTATAAGAAATCTAAAATTTCCTCTTTTGACCCTATTACTGACATAAAGATAAAACAGTTTGAAAGTCTAAATCTAAGTGCTTGTATACAATTACTATTAGTATTGGCTATGATATACCTGACAAGGTATTTGTGCTGAAACTTGAAATTTATTTGATAGGAAAAGTTACTTTATATTTCTGATTGGTTGTTTTGGAAATGAAAACGTAGCTTGTCACTTTGCACATTTTAAAAAAATTAAGCTGACCAATCAATGCTGATAAACAGATCAGCAAGAGGATTTGTAACTTAATCCTCTGCACACTACATTTGTGAACCACAAATACATAAAATATAGAAAAGATAATGTTTACTACTTTACTAAAATACTCAAAATTTCAGTCTATGCATTTATTGGAACCAAGAATAGTCTGGAAAACGTTGTACGGAGCAAGCCATAAATATCACAATTTACATCTTGTAATGTACCAGGTATGAAACTGTCAGCAATGACTTTCTGTTCTTGGAATGGAACGTCTTCTCTCTTCTTCTTTCTAACCCTCGGAACAAGATGATCACGTCTTGATGTAATCACTTCAATACTTCCATGGGAGTTCTGACCCAAATCTTCAATGTCTTCAATGTCTGTATTGCAGGATCCAACCATATTATCCAGTGATCTCTACAAATAAAGTATTATCAAGTGTGCATGATAATTTAAAGTTCTCAAAGTATAGAACACAGTACATAAGTTTATTTTTCTCAATTAACTTGTATTTGAAATTCAAAATTTCTATTACAACTTAGCCTAAAAAATTCACGTTAAATCCTAGGAAAAAAAAATTAATGTTTCTACACCAGAATCACTTCTCAAAGAAATTAAAAAATACCAATTTTCAATCTATAATACAAAATGTTAATAATGATCTTTGTTTCTATTTTTAATATAAATACTAATCCTTTCCTCACCACACTACATCTCTGGGTGAGTAAGATTATTTGATATCATTCTTCAAGTGAAATACTCTTTAGGAGGAAAATGAAAGTGGTGAGAAAGTTAACTTAGACATATGGTTTATATCTCTACTTACTGGTTTCACCTCTTATACTTCTGAAAGCTCCTGCCCTCCACTACTGCCAATTGCAACTCATTCCATAAGTTAATCACCCTGTTAGAAAAATATAATTATCTTATCTAGAGCCTATATTATCATTAACAACTCTTATAATTGTATATTCTCTTTTTAAGTTCTTTGCTTAATATTTTACCTTACTTTCTCTTAAAAAGCTTTATATACTACAGATACAAAACTAAAAATTTGGGTAAAACAGTTGCATGTTAAATACGTTTTTTCATATACTTGCTGCACTAATTTCTCTATCAAACCAATTGTCATAATTGGAATAGATAATAACTTCATCCATCCATAACTAATAATGAATACATCTTTATTCAGGTATATGTATGTAGTCTTTCAGGTGTTCTGGGTTAAAGAATTCTCATTAACCATATGTCAAAAGGCCATCAACATGTACTAATACTTAATTAAATATAACGATTCCATACAGAAACTTCTGCAAGCTTGTATCACTTTGACCCGATATCTATGTCTACTTCCTTGGAGAGCAAGCCCATTTCAAGGGGTGACACAGATACTTGCATAAATTAGTATGAGTTAGAGGTTTTCTAAGAACTCTATATATTTGGAAAAGCTAGTGACATATGCAGCTTGAACTTAAGGTATAATGCACTTGGACTGTACTGCCATGTAGAGAGCCTCTCCATCCCCAGCAGTGAGTTCGAGCTCAAACAATTATGAAGCTGGCCATCTCATAAAAGATCAAATACAATTATTGTGAATAGATGCTTTTGTTTGTTTCTTTCCATTGATGTCGAAGTTTGAAATTATTCTTTGCAGCACACTTTCTGAAACCTAGGCTCTTATTAATATTTGATAAATTTATCTGTTGGACATTAGGTCACATTCTTAAAAAAATGTCCACAAGCAATAACAATATATAAACAAACTAACTAGTTTTTTAGATTTAATCACCTTTTTTGACTTGTAATAAATGACTAAAATAGACCCTAAACTTCATTTAGTTTTACTACTAGCAACAGAGCATTTAATGACTTGAGTCAATTATCTACAGCCAAGATTATTTTATTCATTCACACTATTGAATGGGTTCCTATCTATATTAAACATATGATCCAGACTATGATAAAGTGAAATGTATTACTTTACATTCAATGTAATTACAAGTCTTCTTCAACATGTCTAACTCATCATTTCATTCAAGCCATTCTGCAATGCCTGAACATCCTAATCACAGCTAGAAATACCCATGAGTTTAACCCAGTTGCTGCGGCTGGGACGTATATTTCCAGTGCTCCCACCCCCTCACACTGCAACTGGGACAAATATTTCCCATTGTTGATGCTGTTTATTCGTCCTTCTTGATTATCATCACTAGACGGAAACCTAGCATCCTCTTATCTCATTACCTCTTCATCATCATGCATTTTACTCACTTTCACTATATTCTAAACTATCTGAGTCAAGCATATCAAGCATATTTACATAGTGATTAGGGTTACTACTCACTCCAGTGATGCGGGCATGGATGGCATGCAGTTGTCGTACATTCCGCTTAGGCATCTTGTTGGTTACTGAATGTAAAACATTGAGGGAAACCATATATCAACATTAGGTGGGATGCCAATAAATACTTTCCAACTCATTTTACTCCCGTACATCATACACAGCAATTCTGAATGACAATGGGAAACATTTGTCCCAATCGCTGTGTGAGCACTGGCAAATATATGTCCCAGCCATAGTGAAAAGGTTAATATCACCAGTAAACTTTATTAATTATGCCCCTATCAATATCAGTAAATTAATGTAAATAACAAAAAGCAAAGAAAGCCCCCTGTACTGAGCAATAACTTTCCAGTTTGACTGGAGTCCTTTAATAACATTTTTACTTTCTCTCCCATCCAAAATATATACAATCCAATAAACTAGTCTTAACTGATCTAATTTTCTTATCTAACTTTTTGTGTGGTAGCTTAACACCTCAGATTATTCTACTTTAGTTACTTTAATTTTCACATATTCAGGACACTATTTTATAATATAAAAAATAATTAAACAAATGTAAACTGTACACAGTAATAAGTATTATATTCAACTTCTAGTTCTACAAGTAGTATAACTGCAAGACACACTATCAGTGCATGTATCATTAACCTAACACGAATTGGTTCATGAAACAAGTTGAAGCAAACACCAGGACAGCTGTCCAACTTAAAAATATCTGATGAACCTATATGTATGCACTTGAAGTTTACAGCTGATATATATGTTTTATCAATCACACAATAAATTCACAATACCTTAAATATCTCTGTAATTTAAAATACAAATATTGAAACAAATAATACTACATAGTGAAATTAACACTACTTATTCATACTCTCGCACAATATTAACAACGAAAGAGCGCCCTCTCATATTTTACATAAGTGAGAAAAATCGTCAAAAGAAATTTTATTACAGAACGTAATATTTCATGGTGCTTTTATGTGGATTGTTTCAGATAAAAATTAGATGAAAGCATGAACATTATGAAAATTTTGTTAATTCTTTTGTACTGTTAAAAATTTACATTTTTCTTAAACATCAATAAAATGCCAAGTTTATTTACGAGTATCTAAATATGTGTTACGTCTCCGTTTGTTAATTGATTTTTCCGTAACTTCGTTCCGACGAAATTTTAACGACACA